GTTTTACTAGCTTGTGCTTGTAAATCTGAATTTATTTACTAGCTTGTGCTTGTAAATTACAGGAAGAAAGAAAACTAAAAATTGAGATTCAATATTGGGTTTTGTAATTTTTTTTTGGTGTGTGTTTTGGTTTCACTGTTTAGATTCCTACTAAAATATTTTATTATACACGGAACTATATACTATATATCTCTAGGGTCAACGAAAATGGACAATCCAGGCGTTGACTTAGTCCAGTCTACACCGTCGTCATCGTCACGGAGACGTTTCAGGCACCACAAATCCTCCGGCGAAAGCTTTTTCCAATGAGGAACACCAACTCTGAGTGGCTCACAGCTCGCCACCTCAGCAGCCACGACGGAGCAACCGCTTTTTCTTGCGACGTTATGCGCGTGCGAACAAAGCGCCTCCACCATCTCCGCCGCACGTGGCCCTTCTCCGCCGATACCGTACAAGAAATGCATAGAGAACGGCTTGAAAAGATTAGGAAACGAAGGGATTTTCAGAAACGGAAACGCGCCGTCGAAAACGCGCGTTGTCTTCGCTAAATAGCGTTTGAGACGCGACGTTCCTTTGACTTGAAGCCTGTAGACTTCTCTACTGTTCCAGATACTTAACACTGCCCATGACTTAGTCGGGTCGGGTAAAGACCCGGTAACGTAGTCACTGCCACGTGGCACGGCGAGGAAAGTTCCAAGTGAGAGTTTGTTGGTGAGGATTGAGTTGATGTCGGAAGGGAAAAACTCGGTGGAGGAGAATCGGTTGCGGTAGAGTGACTCGGCGACGGAGGGAGCGAGTTTGATGATTTTGACTCGGTTTGAGACTGTGACTCGGTGGTTGAAAACCGGGTTGACCAGGAAAGTCGGTGTACGGAATTTTGAGTAACCGCTTTTCTCGGTGAAGAGTTTGACCGAAGCTGCGTTGTCGTTTTCGGTTTGCACGTAAGCATAAACGGCGCCGTTTCGTCGAAACCACTCTTCGAGTCTTTGCACCAATTTCAGTCCTATTCCCATCCTCCTACACAAATAATTTTATATTTAATTAGTTACACAATTTTTTTTTTTAAAAAGCCGTTAATAAATATCTTAACTTCGTTTTCGATTACTCTTTATATATTATCAAAATATGGTATCATTTAACTAGTAAGCATCATTTTAGAATTTAGATAGAAGTTATTGTAAGAAATGTGTATTTCATTATTATTTTCGTTATGATTATCTATACATAACATGAACCTGTAAAACGGTGAGACTCGGAGACCGGAAACGAAGGCGAGTTTGGTGGTGTTAATTTCCGGTGAAACGTCGTCGTGTTCATGACGACGATCAAGTAATGTGTTTCCACCACGTGTCACCATCTTGATCGTTCCTCGGATAATCCCAACTATCTCATCACCGATCTCTGCCACCTGTCACATGCATTGCACAAAAACGAAACGATTATAAGCAATAGAGAGCAAATCAGAATCATTTGAACATAATAACGTTTATAAAGTATAAACACATGTAGGTAGCTAGATACGTGCCAACATGTGGAAAGAAGGAGATTGTCGGATCCGGGCAAGCGGGTCACCCATGAGATCCACTAACAAAGATCCGATTTCACAGCTTTTCTCAAGCTCTTCCACTCTCGTTAAGTCTCTCTTTAGATCATACCCTCTAACCATAACTACTTCAAATCCTTTCACCATGATTAAAATCAAATCAAAACTTTGGTATTAATAAAAACGTACGGAGACCAAAAAGTTTTCTTAAATTCTACCAAATATTTTTCAGATTGTGTGTTCTTTCACAAAGTGAGTCTTGTCATTAGTCTATATATAGGTAGAATTTAGCTTTGTTCTCTTCTCCCCTATAGTTTAATTATATGATTTACCGATTTGTTTAATTATCACTATCTCTCTCTCTTTATGTTTTTTTAATTTGAATTGTTGTTGTTAGTGCTCTTTCTTTGGAGCTCTATCGATTATTCTAAAATGTGTCCATATTTTAATCAATTCGCATATTTGGTTATATTTTATGTTGATTGATCCGGTTACGATTCGTGTATAGCTATATTTTCCGGGAATATCACGTCTCATATGTTAATTCCGTTTATAAATATATAAGATATGGACGAATACAAAAAAACCTAATAACCCACGATTCTAACTTCTGTTGAACTATCATATTATATATGTAGTTCTTCCACTCTTACATGGCATTGCGACAATGCGACTGCGTTACATCCCAACCTTTAAATAAAACCAAAAAACCTAATAGTTTTCTATTTGTAAATGTAACTATACAAGAGTATAATACACATAACGTCTATTAGTTCTATTCTTTTCACCCATTCTTCAACCAGTTATACCGCTGATTATTATTTGGATCGAAATCCTTTACAAATGAAAACACACACAAAGGAAAGGCGAAATTTAGTATAATAAATAATGCGACCACAAATTAGAAAGCACAAAAAGCTGAAATGGCGGCGGAGATATACGTGGTGGGTTTAGGATTAGCTACGATCTCTTTTATCATTTGCTTTAAATTTTGTTTAAATATATATGTAGTCAGCTATATGCCTATATTATTTGCTGAATTTATAAACATAGAGCTCAGTAAGAAACTATACATTTTATTATATAATTTGTTTGGTAATTGATGTCATAATGATTCCAAATGATCATCACTGTCATCACCTTGATATCCCTTTCCCTTTCGAAGTCTTTTTTATCTTTGTTAACAAATTATACCAATTTGATTCATATATCACAAGATAATGATTCGTGATCTTTACGCAACTCCATTTCTAATTCTTCAATTGATAATTACGACGAGAGAGAACCATAAGTATAGTTTTCTTCGCTTAGTGTACGTGTAAAAAGTAAAATTTCTTTAATACAAACCTAACCACAAATAAACAAAGTAAACCACAAAATGCATTTCTATAATCTCCAGTAACCAGCGAAAGTTGACTTATATACTTGATTAAATCATATTTCGGAATAAGAAATACTTGTGAGTGATCGATGTAAAATGCT